GGCGACCTGTCGCCCGTGAGCTCCGGGGCGAGAAAAGCCCAGTTCGTAAGTGCGGATCCGACATAAGTCGGATCCGCGTAAGTCAGGGACTGCCTGTATATAAAATATTTAATGATCTAGAAAGGTAATGAGCAAACAAAGAACTTCTCATATCCACTCTATTGTAGGTGTGTGTATACCACATGCACCATTACTGGATAATTTCCCCTCCGTGGTATCTGTTAGAGGCTTCTGGTGCTGTGCACTTATGCACTGATATAATGGGTCAAGTGTTCCAAGCGCAGATCATGGGCAAAGGTGTACGAGTGCTCATGGACAATAGGGCAGCCATTTTTTAATAAATGGACAGGGAGGAGCACACTTCTTTAACTAGGGCAAGAGGCCATTCTTCTGTGTGAAATACTTCATCCACCTTGGAGCTTCTCCTCTTCCGGGAGCCTGGAACACTCTGGCAGGTGACCTCAGCAGGTCTTTCTCTTTTTACCATAGAATCATAGGACTGGAAGGGACCTCAAGAGTTTATCTAGTACAGTCCCCTGCACTCATGGTAGGGCTATTTTTTAACGGGACCAAATTTTTGTAGGGAGCATGAGTGGTTCCTTCATCCAGAGTAAGCATATAGATCTTCCAGAGGTGGAGGTGTCTCTATATAGTGGACTTGTTTGCAACCATGAACAACAGCAAATGTCAAAAGGTTTTGCTTGATATGCAGTCACACCCTGGGATCTCAGATGCCTTCCTCCCTCCATGGACAGAGCTCTTATTCGATGTATTTGTCTCTGTTCCTGTGATGCAAACAATCCTTTTGAAAGTCAAGCAAGAAAGCAAGAGTCCTCCTTATAGCCTCTGCATTACCACAACAACACTGGTTCCACACATTGTTGAGTCTGTCATTAGTGACCCTCTGCTACTAACACCCTGCCCAAACCTGATCCTCAAGGCCTTCCACCACACCATGCTCCATGGCTGAATCCAGTGGATCAGGCATTTTTTAAAACAAGTCCAGTAGGTCTTGCTTTAGGAGATGGCTTCCTATTACAGAACAACTTACCTAGCCAGGTGGAAACATGTTTTCAGTGTGGTTTTCCCAAGATGGTCTCTCTTTGACTTGTTAGCCCTTCTAGTCTGTGTTAGAATACATGCTCCATCTGAAGTAACAAGGTCAGGCCCTAGCATCATATCAAGGAGCACCTAGCAATAATCTCAGCCTTCCACCACCTGGTGGATGGTAAAGCAGACTTCTCCCATGAAATGTCCATCTGTTTCCTCATGAGATTAGAGAGACTTTACTCCCAAATTCACAAACCAATCCCACCATGGGACCTAATGGTCATGTCAAGACTCCTGGCCCCTTCCCAGTTTGAGCCACTGGCATTGTGCTTTCTGTCATCTCTCTCTTGGAAGGTCACCTTCCTGGTCGTGATCATCTTGGCCAGAAAGGGTCTTACAAATTAGTGCCCTTATATCAGAACCCCTGTATATGAGGTTCTGTAAGGACAAGGTTCAACTGTGCTCCCACTCAAATCATTCCTCCCAATGGTGGCCCCGCTAGTCCATAGTAATCAGGCTGTTTTCCTGCCAGTTTTCTTCCCAAAAGAGGACAGGAATTCAGAGTGATGTTTCCACTCTGCAAAGTTAGATGTGTCCTGGCTTTCTACATTGAGAGATCCAAGCTGTTCTGTAAATCTGTGCTGCTCTATGGCAGTAGCAGACAGGGTGAAATTCCGACCTAATGTGGAGTTTGTGAAGCTCTGATCAGAAGGAGCGTGTGACAGAGATCCATAGTACAGGCAGAAAGCACTACGTGTTACAAAAGGGATGCCCTGCTCTCAGTCTAGGGAATGACCCAAAGGGGAAAACAGTTGTGAGCATGAAGTACTCGGAGAGTCTCTCAGAATGGGAAAGGCTCGTGAGCCGTGTGAAAAAAGTAGACAGAGTGATGTGGACTGTTTTGCAAAACCTTGCTGATAAGGAAAATAACTTATTGTGTTTTGATTGGGCCAAATCAATTATTTTAATCTCTCCAGAGTGCAGGAAATGCATGGTTGTGTCCAGGGGCATCAGGTTTGCAAAAATGTTGGTGGTGCTCAAAATGTCCAGTGCCTGCACCGCTCCTCCACTCAAACTCTCTGTCCACCACCACCTGCGTGAGGCTTTGAGAGCAAGCTTGAGTGAGGGAGGGGTGCAGCCTCTAGAGAGAGTGGATGCATAGTGTGGGTGGAATGAATGGGTGTGGTGCCACACTTACCTGGGGGCACCCTCCCCTGGCAGTGGCATTTAAAATCACTTGGGAGTTGTGGGTGGGGCTGGGAGAAGCACAGGGAGTGAGTGCATGGGGCAGCAGGAGAGTCAGGGGATGCAGGCAACAGGGAGCAAAGGCATGTAGAAAGTTTCAGTTGAGTCTAGTCCTGAGCTAGGAATATTCCTAGTGTCAGGGTACCATCGGCCCATATAACTCACTGCTTATGCACATGCTTACTGGAATGGTACCCCATACTTGTCAAGAAGTTCTTAAAGAAAATCTCTAAACAAGAACAAAAAGAATCCTAATAGTCCAACCCTACTAGATCAGGAGTGGGCAAAATTTTTGATGGGGAGGGGCACTCCAAGATTTTGGAAATTAGTCAAGGGATTAATGGAGGAGGTGCAGGGTATGGGATGGAGAC